ACTGTTTTAAATATCAGGTTCATTAACTAAGTATTCAAGTGCCAAATTCCCTCCAATGAGAGGAACGTAAGATGAATTCGCCCATCTTCTCAGGAAGAGACTCTTCACACAACTACCTGCAGCACAGAGCGCCACAAACTTATTTGGTTATTACCCACTTACTCTACTGTACAGTCTTGCTAATGCAAGTTAGTTACTATCACATGCAAAACAGTTATTGCTACTAAAGTTCTATTTTCTTATTAAATCATCTTATGGCTTTGTTTGCATCAGGGATTCTTCCCCCTACATACTGTGCTATTTTGCATTCCAGTTTCAGAGGTATTTTTCAATTGTTTCTCCCAAGCACTAAACTACTTTATTCAATGGTACAGCTACTTCCATTTAGAATTGAACCTAACTCTCAGCACAGGTCCCCCAGAGCTCTGCTGTAAATGGCCCACCTGTCCAATTTTCTTGGAAATGTATTAGATGAAGAGGGTTGTTTGTTTAGGTTTGGGGTTTTTTTGCCCCTTATGTACATTAACTCTGCACAGATTACTGGTTTTGCAACAAAGTACATGCTTCTTGATTAATTAGTTGAGAGATGTATTGTATGAAAATTACAAAACCAATGAACCCATTCCCTCCCTCCCATTAATGGCCATTTACAGGCAGGTCTCAGGGAAAAAAAAAGATGCAGTATCCTCTCTAAGCTGAATGAGAATTTTGTTCTTATAAAAGAGAGAAATGGGGGAAGAGCAACACTGGCACCAAATAAAAGACTTTTTCCTAGGAAATCAGAGGATGCCATCCACAGAGCATTGCGCATCTCAGGAATCATACAAGTCTTTTATTTGACCAGCCCAAGCTGCCCATTGAGTGCTAAACCATTTGGACTTCCCCTGGTCTAAACTTTCCTTCTGAAAAAAGCAGAGGGAGAGGCAGAAATTATTAAAATTGCCCTTAGAGCTGGAAAGCAATACTGGAAGTTACCTAAAATACAGGCTACTGAATTCTCAATAATACAGGGGTGGGGAATCTCTCTCTGATCCATAGGCTAGAGATAGCCTGCTGCACAGATACAGTCTGCAGTGTTGTTTTTCAACAGCCCTTGACCTTATTATATTCTCTCTTCTTATTATTAACATTAAGATGTATGTAAATGCAGGATCCACCAAACGTGTCAAAAGATTCAATAGGACTTCAGCCAAAAAAGGTTCCCCATTCCTGCAATAATGAATAAGTCTTCTACACATAATTGGCAAATAGCATTTTACAACCATTAACTTACTATATAATGAGGATAGTGTTTAACTAGTTATTACAATTATATAGCCAGATCTGAAAAAAAACTCAATAGATTTTGTAAATGATCTTCAGGTAGCAGAGATGTGTACAAAATGCACACAAACCCCTTAGCATATTCACACTTTTGAGTATATCACAGATCGGGTAATGATAAAATTGAAAATGCAGCACACAGAAGAAAACACATTCAACAAAGACTAAAAAGAAAAGAAATCCACCGAGATGAGAATTTTGGATGCTTACATACACTAGCTTACTATTGCAGTTGGACAGATAGATTAAAAACAAAAAGTCAACTATGACTCTATGAAGCCCATTAAGTGAATGCATTCCATTTCTAAAGATAGCGTTGCCATTGTCAAAGGGAGGATACTGCATGTTTAGACCATGTTTGTGACATTTCTATTGTATCCTTTCTATTGTTAATTACATTATCATCACTGTTTATTAATAAATTTGTCACTCTGAAATTGTAAAAATACTACTAGGCTCATGCACTGATCCTAACATGGCACTACAGTTTGCTACAAAGCACTAATGCTTATGGAACTATACACATCTCAAAATGGAAGACATTGGTGATTTTGTTGTTTTCAAACAACTTGTAACATCATTTTGTCCACAAGTATTAAAATATATATATGTATATATATATGATCTATTGCACATGCCCCTTGTTTTTGTAATCCTTCATGTGGGAAGATTTCTAACCAACACAGAGAAAAAGTGGAGCAAGAAAAAGTAAGTAGGCTGTGGCAGCATTTCCTAACACAGCAGTTTTATAAAGGTGCTGGCCAGAAAGGTACAGCAGTGGGGGTCTTCTGGGCATGCAATATTGGAGTATTACTTCTGTGGAAGCCACAGATCC